AATTAACGGGAGAGTTGTCGGGAGTCACTGCGCCGAGAAACCATTAGGTTTTTTATAGCACCGCGACTTTTGTCGCAGTTTTTATTTTTTCATTACAGAGATTAAGGAATGAAACGGAGGTGGAAGGATGGGGAATTTAATTCTCCATCGAACAGCATTGGTTTCATTCCTTAATATTAATTAGGAGAAAAGATACGATTTTTGAATTAACGGGAGAGTTGTCGGGAGTCACTGCGCCGAGAAACCATTAGGTTTTTTATAGCACCGCGACTTTTGTCGCAGTTTTTATTTTTTCATTACAGAGATTAAGGAATGAAACGGAGGTGGAAGGATGGGGAATTTAATTCTCCATTGAACAGTCTTTGTTTCATCCCTTAATATTAATTAGTCGGCGAATAAATCAATTGAAAAACATAAAATAAACATTGAGTACAAGGAGGACAAAAGTTCCCCTCCGAACATGTCCCTGTCACAGCGGGACTGCTACTGCCGACGCCGAGTTACTCACGCACCCGACTCACATTTACCGACAATTCGACCGGGACGCCGCCTTTCCCGTGGGGTACCAACTAACATTTTTGCAGTCAGTCAAACCCCCGATCCGGGCCTCTACTCAGGTCTATCCTCTTTGGCGCTAGCAATCTCCCTTATAATCTCTGGCTCTAAGGCGCTCATATACGCGCGTACTCAAACCCAAAATTTGGTTGTGTTGTGTGTGTGAGTGCCCATGCGCCTTAGAGCCTAGGTGGCGTTTTCTTATTTAGCGAGCCCAATATAACAATTCAATCGTATCGTGATTATAAAAAACGTTTTATCATGACGAGACGGTGCGATATCCCAAATTCTTCTAATATAGCTACATATAATAAATATATACAATGAAAAACTGATGTTCAGTGAAGGAAAGGCAAGACCAGAGACGTATCCATGTAAAATTACGTCTGTATCAAAGCTACAGCCACCCGAAGATTTTTTTCGCAATAAAATGACATACACTTTTGAACGTGAATATTCTATGAGGTATAATTCACATTTTCTTGTGCACGAATTGTAATGAAGATCGCAGCGGAACAAAGCATTGAAGTAGTTTGAAAAAAAACTGGTTAATTACTTATCAACATGCTCTTAATCCAATTATTGAAGTTCCTCATGAAAACAATTCGACTCTGTGCTCTTTGAGACAGTCCCTTCTCCTCCAAGGCATTGTAATACTGTGCAACAACCTTCGTGTGATCGGCAGCTTTGTCCTCTGCTTCAACAACATCCCTGCCGCTTCCAGTCGATAAATCCGACGGGACCCCACTCGTCTATAACATTTTCGTCAATTAAGAAAATCCCAATTCTCGTTGCACTCACGATTACTCGCCATAAATTATCAATCAATCGTCTGCCCACCGATGTTTCCGCTCTAGTGTTGCACTTCACCAATTTTGACTTCTTGGCGTGCTCATTGTCATCATGATTTCTCTTTCGCGATTCTGAACTCTCAGCCACATCGGTTCGCTCTCCTCTCTCATCATCATTTTGTTGTAATGGTTTATTTACACTCTCAACTTCCCTATTCACTTTTTCATCATTATCGGATAATGAATCCTTGGATTTTTTCTCGATTACCGCTTTAGGGGTTGATAGAGACGACATATCGACTATCAACGTATCTTTTTTTTATCCTCACTGTGTTATTTGCATAGACATATAATACCTAGACGGCGCATTCCCCATATCTAGAGATACTCTAGTAATGTAGATTCCTCAGTAATTTCCTAGTGGCGCCTTTTTCGCGGTAGATATTCAAACTCACGAATATAATGTCGCGGATTTAATTGATTTGAATGTAATTAAGCTGAAACCATTCGGAAGCATATTATCAATTTATTGATGGCGAAGAAAGCATCGAAACATCACTCAGTGACATGCTCACTATCATATGCCCGCTTCCCCTGATTGTTTCACGTTTTTTGTGAATTCCTAAATAACCGCAGAGGCGATCGTCTTCACAAACTAATCAGTTGTAAGTTACGTGAAGACATTGATTGAAAAAAAAATTAATGAAATCGTTTCATTTGTTCAGTAGATATTTTGTGGACAAAATTTTCATTTCATACAACATACATACACACACACACACACACACACAAAAAGCGTCAGGATGATCTTAGAGGTTATGAAACGTCGACAAATCATGAAAATTGCACGTTTGATCTTCGGGGTTATTTCAATAACTTCCTCCCTTAAGGTCAGGAAGTTAAAAAGATTCTCTCGATAAATTCTCATCAATCCACTCATTTCCAAAATATTAACGGAATACTCTGTGTGTATATATTATTTCTCAAACTAGCGCCGCCGCGGCCGCAAGCGGCCGCGACGTTGATGCCCATTTATTATGCCTTTGCTTTTTTTGTTTCTTTCGAAAATTAATGATTTATCGCCGTTTTAGTCTATTGAGTGTTAAAGTTAATGAAAACAATGCGTCTCGGTTCATTGCTTGTTCAATTTAAATATTATAATAAGTGATCCACTAATTCTGAGTTTCCGTCCTCATTGAATGAAATTTTAATTACTATTGTAATCAAAATTATATTCAGAGTGCAAAACAACAATTATCAAATTTCTCACAGGCCATAATTTTTTTGTCTTCGCCTCCCTCTTCATTTCCGTTTGCAACTTGACAAAAGTATTCAATTATTTTTCTAGAAAAATTATGGGGTCAATTCTGATCTTCTTTCGCTAATTCGAAGTGTTTTCGCTTCATTCATGATTTTTTCACAATTTTATTCGACGATGTCATAAACTTCAACTTTCATCATCTAATCATCTAAAATTTTTGCAAATTTTCTATAATCTTTCGAAATTTATATTAATTTTTTTCAAGAAACTTGAAAATTTTTGTGGAATTGTGGAGAAAATCTGAAGAATTACCAAATTATTTCCTCCTTTCGCATTTCAATGAATCAGAGTGCAGTATTCGGGCTTTCATGACTGCTTCAAATCAGTTTTATTTGCAAAATGCCGCCCTTTCCTATCAATTGTTTTCCCATTATTTATTCAACAATCCTCGAATATTTGAGAGATATTGTAAATGTTTTGTAATTTTCAAAAACTCCATAGATTGTCTCTAAGTTCTTCAGAAAACCTCATAATTGTCTTGAATTTTTGGAAAACTCCCGAATTATCTTACATTTGGGAAAAAAATTGACAGTTCTGATTTTTTTGGAAACCTGCAACCTTCCTCGAAGTTTCTATAATTCATTCCCTATTCACCCCCTTAGAGATGGATTTTGTAACGAAGCTGAAACACGTATTTATCAATTTCTAACAATCTCTTGATGAGTGCTCACATAAAAGATAAAACCGACTCTGAAATTTTCATATTATCAGTTTCAATAGTTTCGACTTTTGATTACTATCTTAGTCAAACTGAAGGGCTCTCTTACCATATTTATAACACAATTCCCGTCGGACTCAGAATTCCTTTCTTCCATTCATTGTTCATAATCATTGTCATTGCAAAAAGCAGTGCGACTGATGAAAATGATGTGCCTCAATTTATTAACTATGAAATATTTATATTGCAATGAATAATCTGCGCATATGCTAATTCCTCTGCTCACTGAATAAGATTTCCATCATAATTACAATCCAATTTCTACTCGAACATAATTCGAAGAGTAAATTGCCGAAATTCAATGTTTGGTGATACTCTGGTAAAAGTGCTTGCCAACACCGTGATACAATTTTTCAATCAGTTCACTTGGTAATTCAATTAATCTATTGTTCATATCATCAACATAATTCCCCATTTAGAATATTGTCACCTCATGTTTTCAGCACCAAATTTTGGAAATTAAAACGTAAAATGACAATTTGACTTCTGCTCGATTCTTTTTTGTGAATCTGAAATTCATGTTAATGTGTCAGATATTATGAAAATATCATCATTCCTGTTCTCTACTGTTATGGAATATTGAGCCACAGCTGTTCATTCATAACTGAATTTCTTTTATTCCTATATTATTATTATTCTTTGTTCAACGTGAAAAAATCTATCATCATTTGCACTGTAGTGCATTCAGATTCTTCTGCACTTCATGTAAAAAATATCATAATAAACTCATAATTCTAGTTATTGATTCTAATCAACTTTGGAGAAAACCTTAGTAAGCGCAACATTAAGAAAGTTGAATCATTCTATTGCCCCCGACCTAAATGATTAGAACAATTATAATTGGTTTATCAATCGAAAATACAGAGTAAGAAATTGGGTGCAGAATATTCACGTTTTAAATGAAAATTCAAGCAACTTTTTATTTTCATACTGTTAAGAAATGTTGAATTCCATTAAATTTTCAGTCAATTTTTAAATTTCATGACTTTCCTCTCTCAATTTAACTTAAATGTCTTGCTCCTAAAAATTACCACTGAACTATCCATGAATTTCAATTTTTTTCAACAGTATAATTGCTAGGAAAAAATGAAGTCGACTTTCTGAAATACACTAATGAAATGATTGGAAAATCACAATTTTCGAAGACCACAATCATTTTTTATATAAATAATCCAATAGCAATCAATGTTTCACTCAAAGAATAATTTTTTTCGTGTAACGGGACCTGAAAAACCCCATCCTCGCCTTCGACTCGGAAGGCAATCGTGCACGTGGAGGACGGTGATCTGTTTTCCAAGGCTCGGGCATGTAATGTACTATTCCTGAATTATAACGAATTCTTCCGTTTTCAGAATTTCACCAAAAATTAGGTCCATGGCAAAAAAATCAATATTATTTTATTTTGTCATATAAGTATTGATTTCATTAAACAAACCATCGAATAACCAAAATCGAATGAAAAATTTAAAATTGAATATTTTTAGATTTTCTATTTTTTTTTTTCAATTCATTCTCGACATTCAAGTTCATTAATCATCTATAATTTAATCTTGTCAGCTCGTAACTTTTATCACCAAAAAATCATTTCCCATTCCACTAATTATAAACAAATGCGTGTATTATAGAAAATATGCACTGATGTATTTAATGTATACACGGTGTTCGTTTCTTATTCGAGGTTAGAAATCCGATTTGTAATTCTAGCGTATTTTCGTAAATAGCACTGTCGCGGCCGAATTGCTCATTCTCATGAAAGTTCTCATGAGAATGCGTCTTTCACCCGCCGCAATGACTCTGAAGATAACAACATGTGGCAATTTATTCGATACGACACTCTATTTCTGTTTCATAAGTTCATGATCGAACACGTCCGTTCGACTTCGACTTTCGGTGAATCGATTCGACATTCTTCAATTCGAGTTTTCATTCGGCAGCCATTATGCTTTCCTTTATTAGTATATTTCGTCACTAGGCCGAAAGGCCCGAAAGAAACTTTTCTGGCGAATATGAGTTTGCTGCAATCATATGAGCTAGAAAAGTTTTTTTTGGCCATATGACGAACAGTATTTTTTGTTATGACGGCCGTGAGGCAGCGCTTCACGGACGCTCCGCTCCGCGTCCGTGAATCTCTGCCTACGGCCGTCATGACAAAAAATACTGTTCGTCATACGGCCAAAAAAAACTTTTCTAGCTCATATAATTGCAGCCCTCGCCTTCGGCTCGGGCTGCAAACTCATATTCGCCAGAAAAGTTTCTTTCGGCCTAGTGACGAAATATACTATCTCAAATCATCTCCTCTCCTCGCCCATTTAAGACCTTTTTAGACTCGTTTCGTACGAAATTTTTTTTTCGTGTCACGGAACCTGAAAAAGCCGATTTTCGTGGCGCTCGCCTTCGGCTCGGAAGGCAATCTTGCACGTGGGGGACGGTGATCTGTTTTCCGAGGCTCGGGCATGTAATGTACTAATACACACAATAATAAAATAAAAGATTTATTATCTAACGTTAATAATTATCAAGCATTATATTATTTCATTTTTATTTCTATAATTGTACACGGTGTCTCGTCTCAACACTCGAAACAATTATTAATAAACAGTGTATTTCAGTTGTTTTCATGTAATCCTCCTGTTTCATACTTCCCTCGTAAATCGTATAAATTGAATTAATTATTAAAAAGAACATTTCATCACGAAAATGCCACATAAAATAAAGTTGACTCTGAAGCGAAGTGATAGAAGCAGACAAGTCCAAAACTCCTTACCCATTAACTCTCGAATGCCCCGAAAACTAGCAGTTTAAAAATAATGATAATAATAATAGTAATAATAAATTGACAATGAAAAAATATCGAGAGACTTGTTTCGAAGTCGACAAAATCCTCGACGGAAAATGTCTCTTGCAAAGTTTTTTTCTAAATATCTGTCTCAGGAAAATATTACATACATCTTTTAAAATATCCACTTGTTCTGAACTTATCTCTTCTTATTTACCACTTCTCTACCGTTTTTTAGAGATGGAATGGTATTGTTTCGAAGTTAATCCAAATCGAAAAGAAAAAAAGTAAAAGGAAAAATCGACTCGTTTTAGTCGTGTCCAGCACGTTGTCCCACTGTATTTCAATGGCGAAAAAATTACTTTCTCTTCTTTTTACTGTGTCCTGCTCTTTTCAGCACGTAAATTAACATTGAATATTCTCTTGTGACACCTACGCGCAGTGCTTGAACACATAAGTGGTTCAAATATATTAATTTCCCTTCCATGAAGTATGATTAATTATCATTGATATTCTCTGAATTCTTCACTGCTTGCACTCAACCATGATTTTCTTCACGAATAAATGGAACATATTGGACGCTGCAGAAGAAATTAAATTCTCATTTCATTTCAGTTTGTTTTTCTAACTTGCTCATCTCCATTTCCAAAATCTTGCGAAGTTCATTCTGGTAAGAAGAGAAAAAAAAGAAAGAAAGATTGTTGGACTAAGCGTTGGTATTTTTAATTCAATTAAGGGACACGTTCAAATCACAACTGCTTGGAACCTTCAGTTTTTTTCGCCTTTGGAGGTGGTACACTGGTTAGCGAGGAACTTCGAATGCACTCAGAGTCCAGAGGATCCTTTAAAACTGGTGCTGGATCTCGCAATTCCTCAGCTATTGAGTTTACTGGGATCTTTGGAGTGGTTCCATCATTCAGGTTTTCATTCAGGGGTTTTTCAGATTTTGTAGGAGGAGCTGAAGGTACTGGAGAGGTTTTCTCGGGCTGAACTTCTTCTGGGGATTTGTCTTTGCTTTCCTTCTTCAAGGCTTTGGAGATCTGATCCTCTACTTCTAAGACCTCTTCCTTATCTATTAGGTCAATGATTTCGTTCAGCTGCTTCTTATTTAGTTTGACGTCTTCTTTGCCAATTAGCTCAATCACCTAGAATAGGGAAGAATGATAAGATATATTTTTTTCATGGTTGAAAGAAGATATGTCATATGTGGTTTCATTTTGGGGGGTCATTTTGTGAAAAATTCCTTGTAGGATTTTTTCACTTAGAGCAAATAATATCCAAATACAAAATTTCTGATATGAATAAAAAAAAGTTATGACTCAATATTCCAAATTAAGATTTAATTTTTAATTTAGTGCTGAAAACACGAGATCACAATATTCTAAGCTATAAAATGAACAACAAATTAACTGAATTACCGTGTGAACTAACTAACAATTGATAACAGTATGGGCACACTCTTTTACCAGAATATGAGCAAACATTGAATTCCAGAAATTCGCACTCTAAACTGTGTTCTAGAAGGAATTCAATTGTAATTATGATTAAAATCGTATTCAGTCAGCATCGGAATGAGAACATGAGCAAATCATTTACTGTAATATGAAAATTTAACAGCTGATAAATTGGGACATACTACTCTAATTGGTCGTGTTGCTTTTTGCAATGAGAATTTTATAAACAATTAATTGAAAAAAGGAATATTGAATCGGTCAGGAAAAAAAGCATAACGAAAGGGCATCAAGTGGCGCTAGTGTAATCATAGTTTACGAATTATTCAATGTTGAAAAGAGTGATGCGTTTTCGCTTGGGTCTATGACATATGGACACCGTTCTTGAGAATGTAACAAAGTTGTACAGTAAAAGAAGCTATTCTCAGCTCAAATTTCAGTTCAATGAAAAGTTCAGTATTAGGTAAAGTGATTAAATCGTTTATATCCAATATAAAATTACATTTTATTAGTTATGTCCCAGCAACGAGAAGATTAGACAGGAAGTGCGAGTGAAGTTTTCATCCATGAATTAATGAAATTCCCATAAAAACATCCATCATTATCATCACCATCAACCAAAAGAAATATATTTATTGAAGCGTCAATTCCTATGGTGCTTGCCTCCACAATAGTTAGAGGATATAACCTCAACGAACAGAAAAAGATGAAGCGTCGATTCCTCTTTGATACCCTTATCTCTATTATGATTTAAAAAATGCCTCTAATTGATAATGCAACAGCTAAGAAAAGTTTTACTCAATGTTCTCAATGGTACATCAGAACCCTTATAATTATGATTATCGAATCATGTTCAAAATAAGTGATATAACGTAAAAATGTTGGAAGGCTCTTGTTAGAGCTGAAGAAATGTACCGGAGAAATTTTCTTCTATAATTGATGAATTTAGGTCAAAATATCGAAAAATCATCATTGTAATTTTCAAAATCCTAACCATTTTTTTCTAGACTTGTTCATTAAATTGAGTTTACCTTCAGCACATCCTCAATTTTGATTGTACCATCCCTGTCATCATCAATCTTCCCGAGAATCTCGGAAATCCTTGACAACCTGTTTTCGTCTGGAACACTCTGGATTTGTTTGATAGCCGCTATAAGCTCGTCAACCTTCACCAGCTCCTCAACTACCTCAGAACCCTCTTTCTCCTCAGGTTTCAAAGTCTCAATCTTCTTTTTCACCTGCTCCTCGCTCTTCTCCAACTCCTTTAGCACATCATCCATCTTCAAAATCATCTTATTAACTTTATTAAACAGCCGTTTAGCTCCCTTAGAGACCTTAAGGTCTTCAATTTCCCCTTGGGCCTCTGCCTTCATTTGATCAAGCTCCTTGATATCTTCCTGGTACTCTGCCATCTCTTCCTTAAGCTCCTTGAGCTCCTCTTTTTCTATGACAAGCTTCTTATCTTTTCCAATAGAATCAAGGGCTTGCTCAAGCACTTTAACATCCTTGGTCGTAATTTCATCCTTCTTCTCGTCCCTCGCAGTAATGACCGGTTCAGGCTCTTTCGTTTCTTTTTTCTCTTTACGTTCCTCCTCAATTTTACGTTCTTCCATCTTAATAATTTCAATGTTCGTCCTGTGGTCAACTTTACCCTCTTTCTCACCAATTGCACCTTTTGTCGCTGCTAGAACGTCATCAGGAAGTGCGGAGATAGTGACCTTGAGTTTATCAGACATTGGCATTGTCTCCGGTACCATCAAAGCTCGAGAGAGCAGTAGGAGTGAAGGAGGAACCTTCTTGTGGATACTGAGATCTAACCACTGGGATAATTGGTCCCTCAATTTATTTTCCGGCATTCCATAGGCTCTCATTCCTCGTGCTCGGCAAGCTTGCTGGAGTTCCGCTCGTGTCAGTGTCTCAACGCCTTCCTTCTCGATTAATCTATCATCTGCTGCGAGACTTCTGAGTCTCATTCTCAGGAGGTAACGCAGAAAGTTAGTTGTGCCCAGGGTCTGTACGTCTAGAACTCGACACAGGGCGATTAGTTGAGGACGCGAGAGGGAGTCTAGAGTGATTTCGTCCTCAAAAAGTTTCGAGAACTTCATTATCTCCTCGTTGGAGGCTGTAGCGCCAGTCGAACGAAGTTTGTAGAAGAATTCAGAGAACTCTTTCGCTTTCTCGGACTTGTGATTTGGTGACTGCACTGCCATCTCGTCCAGCGTCTTTTGGAGAAACTTTGCCATCTCTATTTTTACCTGGAAGAAGATTGAGGGGTTTCATGTCAATCTAAAGACGAGAAAAATATTCAAGAATTCATTGTAACAGATTATTACAAAAATATATTGAGAGCGAGGGAATTCTAAAAAAAAAAAAGTCGCAATTTTTCGTTCAAATATTTGCACCCCACAAAATATCAATTTTTTAACAAATTTTTTTTCAATTTTTTTTTAGTTTCCACACCTGATTGCCCGGTGGCTTGGCGCAGTGGGTAAGTTCATTGCCTCACATGCGAAAGGTTCCGAGTTCAAAACCCGGCCGGGTAGAATGGTGAGATCTAACCATTTAAAGTCTTGATCATCATCGCAGCATACCCTAACCGGGTCGAAGCGATGTAAAATAACGATAAAAAAAAGTTTCCACACCGTTTGTACAGAATCGATAATATCGTGATCACCAATGAGATCCACCAAGAGGATAATAATGAGAATGATTTCAGTTTTCTTAGGCTCTTGACTTGATTAATGTTTAGTGTGAATGTCAGACAGAATCAACATGAAATGACGAAGATAGCAGCTAGTACTGAATAGTCTCCTTGGTTTACCTTCAAAGCTTGCTTTAGCTTGTCTTCTTTCTCTGTTGCAGTCTGGAAGGTTGATGGCAACATACCAGGGAAAAATTTGATTGCCACTGGTAGGAGAAACTCCATAAAGGGAACGATGATGAAAACTGAGAAAGGAATGAGTCGAAACATGTCACCAGTCGTTTTGACGAGCTAGAAAAAAAATGACAGTGATTGAACAAAAGGTTTCAGGATGTGAAACCTGTCTAATTCGGAGATTTGATAGTAAAACAAGGTGAATAAATTGGTGTCCCCTTAATTATTAAATTATTTTGACGATTTAGGCCATTGAATAATTTTACATGGCTCAAGAAATTGATATCAACGGCCTCTCAATTCTATCCGAATATGATGGAAATCATGCCATTTGTCGTTAAGTTACAGCATATTGTTTGTGAGATTTCTTTTATCGGTTTTTTAATAATTACTGGAAAAACCATCAGCAAAATCAAATAAATTATGGCTAATTAGTTTCAATGCCAGGTGAATCACGTAAAAAGATGGTGAGAATAAAATCATTCGTTATCGAGTTACACGATAGCCTAAAGAGTTGTTGCTCCTGGCTTTTAAGTAGAATGATTAACTATGATCTAAACAGTTGGAATGTATCAATTTAGCACGTAGCCACATATAGGCGTATATGTAATTGTGGGTGTTGTCACGTCTTTTGGAAAATCCTCTTTTAAGGAAAAACTCTATCATTAAAGGACATGATCATGATCATTAGCAACCATAGCTGTGCTCAGTTAGAAAAAAAACAATTGTCTACTTATTTAGGTTCCAATAGATATTTATAAACTTTCTGATAATTGACTTCAACATTTAGCCCTGGTATCTAATTTTCAGTATTTCTCTTTCCATACTTAGACTATGAGACAAACTTGGAAATAGAACAAAACTTCAAATAAACATAATTTGTGTGCCGTTTTTTTTTGTTTAAGATTCTGTCAATAATTTTGCTCTTCAGTTGAAGACTTTTTACCAATCGATGTTCTCTTCTTGTTAATTCCTTTCCCTTGAGCACCCTGTAAATGAGTTTCGCTGATATTTTCATATCGAGCCCCAGCAACCGGAATCCATGATAATAATGAAGCATTTCAGCCTTTATTTTTTGCCATAAAGTTCTCTTTTGAGCAGCAGCCTTATCAGGTATCTTGGTAACGTCGCTGGCCACTGCAACTGTCATTTTCTCCTTCTCCTCCTTCTCTTCTTTGAGACTCTTGACAGTCTCCTCCACTTTCGACGAAGGCTCCTGACCCCTCCATGCTGGAGCAAAGTGAAAACTTCGATTCTGAGAATAAGAGAACTGAATATTTGATCCTTGGATTACGGGGTCAATCCTGGACACAATTAGTTTTTCTAAGGTACTCGTATACGGAAATAAAAGACTTAGGCTGTGATTATCGATATAAAACCGTTGTCTTGAGCAGCACCCTGTAATTAAAGAAAAATTTATTGCAACAGAAAGATTGGAGAAATAAAAAAAAAGGTCCAAAATGGATTAGTAGGTGAACTATTTTGCAAATATCTACGAAAGGCAATGTTCCAGAGGATTTTCTTTTATATAGTTCTTTTTTTCACCTAGAGCTAACTGGAAGTATTATTTCATCCAACGGAAACTCCTTTTTTGGAATAAAATATGAAGAAAACCTCTTTGTAGCTGATCAAATTTAAAAAAAAGGTTTGTAAGCATTGGGTCCTGAAAAATTCCATTAAAATTCGTTTCTTAAACTGAAGCAATGTAAATAACTCAAAAGTTGTGGGAACACCTTGAATCTCATCACATCTTCAAAATCACTACACCGTTATAAATTAATTCAACCGTTAAAAACATTCATACAACTTTTCTACGAAATTCCACTACACTGAATCAACCTAGGACAATGGTTGGTGTCATAATAATCAATGTTACAAATGAATTTCTATAAATAGAAATTAGTCAATCCTGAAAGATCTCAGATTATTAAACTATACCCATCAATTCCAGATTTTTTAAATACAATCTCAAGGAGAAAAGGCATGTGGACCGCCTAAACTTTGGTCCCCATTGAATGCCACAACTACCTAAAACGAAAACGAATTTTTCCGTAATAAATCTACGTCGAGAACCGATAACACTATCACGTATAATAATAGTTCTGCATGAATATCTATGAATTTATCAAATATAAAACGTTACATAAATAAATATATAAAAACGGTAGTAGAAAGGTGAACGCACGTTCCCCTTAGTGGTTCGGATTTTTTTCTTCCTGTTGCGGAAATCCCCACGGAGCTCACGAAATAAATAGTATAACACGACTGTGTGAGTATGAATTAATGCTACGTACGCCTTATAATACCGGCATTAACTCCAACCATAGCCTTCGTATACACAATAGTATTCATGTTAAATTATTTGTGAATTATATTTTTTTCGCGTATTTTCGGATGTCGGTATTTCTTTTCCGATGATAGACACTGTTACAGCCATCACACATATTTCACTATATACGCTGAAAATGTATTATATAGTGTGATATTGGTCAAAAGACGTCAGCTGGAATGTTCCAGTGTTGCCAAAATTGGGAGTTTCCTTTGTCGCATATGCACCAGCGACGGTTGCAGGGTCCCTAGACGACCGCCATTTTCCCTAACTTTAGGATTTATATTCAAATTTATTATTTTCAATTTCTAAGTTAATTCATCGAGATGTTTTTTAATAATTTTTAAAATAGAGAAATGTTTAGGTTTTCATTGAACAAAGACTCGGGAAAAACCCAAGAACAGGAAAAGAGCAATAAACTGGGGAATGTCCCAACATCCTCAGACCACCCGGAGGTTAATCCCTTTCAAGTACCTCTTTTTTCTTATATGATGAGTTTTTCGAGTGCAATTTGATCCGTCGGAGTCAAAAAACCTTTCTTGAGAGAGTTTATTTCTTTCCCAAGAAAACTTTGGAATTTCCCTTGTTTTCCCCAACATGTGTGGGTGAGGCCCTTTGCTTGGGTCACGTAGGCCCGAGAGTTTGGGGCTGGGTTAGAGCGAACGGTTGTGGGGGTGTGAGACCAACCCCATCGACCAAGTCCAAGGACATGATTGGCTCCCCATTCCTTCGAGTGGGATGACTTTTTCGCGCGTTAGACTTAGAATAATTTTAAGACTAGAATTAACAGCAGATCCACCACCTACGTGGACTAGTGAAGATCTAGAGATCTTCTCCTTTGAGTTTGTGTTCAAAGTTTCTATTTGTTATTGTCAACGAAAGTCAAAGTGCAAATATATTCATTATAATTTTATCTTCTACATAAATCCAGTGTTTGTATACAATTATTTAAATAAAACCCGCACTTGTGCAGCAGAGTGCTTGCGATGGCAAAAGCGATTTCTCGCCGTCTGGTGGTGGTTTGTAGAATTACTTTCTTGCGGAACCAATCTGATGGTAGTGCGCCAAGGCTCTCGAGTATATGAAATAGCAAATTGTTCATTGATGTAGACACAAAAAATGTAGACCTAAAAAAGTTCATTACCAAAATTTTTTAACTTGCTTTCGGTTACGAGATATTCAACAAAAAAGGGACTCAACCGACTCGGCTAATTTCATTATAGAATATTCATCTCTATATGAAATACTTACGCCGCTTTATATAATCGTCAAGAGAGAAATGTTGACAGCAAACTTTCATGTTTTCATCGTAAATTCCTCTCAGTTTCAATGCTTCCATCCACTTGTTCCGTAAAATTGAATCGGATGGAAAACTACGGAAACTTAAATTCAGTTTATCCTTTACTTTGCACTGTGGAACACAGCATCCTCTTTTCGAATTCTTGAGATAATTGTTCTGTGCCATTTTCATAAACAATCGGTAGGTTATAAGAGCAAAATTTAATTCACGGCTTGTACTTGAAACAATTTCACATTTCAGCACTATTTAAGGTTAGGGTTCTCAACAGCTCCGCAAGATAGTAGTTCTCCACGGTCCCGCATTTTTGGCCGTAGCGCTGACGGCGGTTTTGCGATCGCGAATTGATCTGGTTACCCTACCATTCGGCAGAATCGAAATTCTACAGTATTTTTAAATAGCTCATTCAAATAATCTCAAACTACAAATGCTGATTAAAGAATTGATTGTTTTGTTGGAGTAGTTGACTACATATTGTAGCATACTAAAATTATGTTGAGTATAAATATATCTGAATATTGATTTTTTGGGATCATGTTTATCGCTACAATTTTATAGATTTTACTACTAGAGCATTTTGCATTCGTATTTTTATCACAATATTCATTCGTAAGTGCACTATATCGCACGCATAGAGGGAAAATATAATAGTTAATTATAATATTATTACAATTCCTAAATATGGTATACTAATACTCGTATGTCTACATCACCGCAGTCACAAAAAGAATTGGATCTAAATATCGCAATTGTAATTATATCGATGTAACCGATAATTTTTCGATGTATTTTTAAGGTTTGAGAAAAAAAAATTCTAATGTAAAGACTCATGCAAAAAAATTACATCGCCTAATCCACAGTGTCAGCCGAAGATGCAATTACTCGTTAATTCATTAACTCTGAGAATGAGAAATTGAGATGATACGGAGTTTTTTTTTTGTAAGTTTGTATCATTCTAAAGCTTACAATCTGGGCGCCGTGACCTCAACCTAAAAACAAATTTCGTGCAAAAAGAAGAAAAAAAATTGAAAAACCTTACGGGTTATCCGTCTAATGCTTACGCCCCTGATCATAGTCATGAAGAAGGGAGGTGCAACTGGGGCTTAGTGGCCCGCCATGTTTTTCACCAAGTGGGGTGTGTAGAAAAGGCCGGGGTGAAAATATCATCTCTCGGGATATGCAGGTAATCATAATTTCCCTAATTCCTTTGAAAAATATTTCATAAACTTCTCCGACACTATCATAATGATTGAATAAATGTTGGCGGATAAGTGGAAATGCAATAATCTCGCAACGTTCATGTAAATCCCAGATTTAGTGCACCAAAAGTAGTAAGTACGAGTCTACGATTTAATCCAAAATGCAAACGACAATAAAGGCTATTTGCATTGTCCATGAGTCCTGGAAGCCTGTGTTCCAGTGACATTGAGGGATATGCATGTGTTTTCGGGCGATGACAGACGTTGCAACATTTGGATACCTTATCGGTTGCTGTGACGTGGGTTTTTGACGTATATGTGCTAACTTGGATTTTTTTTTGTCTCTTGACGGATGATGAGTGCGTTTGTTCAAGGATATGAGTCACAGTTGTATCAGGCTTTGTGATTTATTTAGGGTTGTGTCAGTCCTAGATATGCGAATGGCTTTCATTGTGATGGTGTATGAGTGAGGTTTCTCTTTTTCAGTGGGAGGTTCATAATGATGCTTTGGAATAGTTTAATTTTGAGGTAGTGGACAGAGATTGTTTGTTTTGTACTGAGATTTAGTATAAATCGGTAAGAAAGTGGCAAAACGATTCGCGTCGATATATATCTAGATAGCTACAGATCTATCCCTTTCATGGGTAATTGTAGGGACAAGTTTCGAGTTATTTTGTCCGCAACAAATTTTTTTAGTTTTGAGAAGAGAACGATTTATCAACATTTTTTTCCAAATAATGAATATTAATGTTCTATGCTCATGCAATATTTTTTAGCAAATCAAACGAGGTAACGAGAATTAATACAATGTTCGATATGATGATAATGAGTTCAACAACTTGAAAAGGCAAGGAGTAAATGAAAACTTCAAGAGGCTTTTTTATGAGAAATTTCGAGACCTATCTACGAAGAGACTTCCTCTTCACTGATATTTCACGAGATTCATGCAGAATTATTCAAACTGAATTTTCAGGCAAGAATACATGAGCTGAAACATTATCTACAAAATATTTGAGAGTTCTCTTTGAAAGGAAGGAATTTGGAGGAATCCATTAGTGGAATCCACTAGAAGTAGTGCGTTAAAAAATTACTTTGCCCCCCTCCCCCCTCCGACCGGGAATCAAACCCGAATCGTCCGCGTGCCAACCCCGCGCTCTAACCACACAGCCACCGCCGTTGGTCTGAAAATTCTACATTAAATTTATGAAATTATCTTGCTTTCTCCTTTTCATGAAGAATTAATTATTTGCTTATTGTTTTAGAGTCAACATGGGAAGAAGAGAATCTTTTTCCTTCATTAAGGCCTGCTATCCTCTCAACAACGACGCATCCTCCACCCGGGTACCACAATCAATGCCACACGGATACCGATGGAACACCGATAATTTAAGACATTAGGAACTCACACAGCTATTTGTTTTGATAAGTGAATAATTGCTTCGTCAACGAGGATATTCTTTCGTAATAGTCGAGTATCTTTGGAAATTTTCAACTGGGTTGCCGGTAAGAAGGTGGTGGAGACACTGGAGTCGAATTATTTTTCAATAAGGACAATAACATAAATATCATTAGGTGAGTTTATGGAAGAAATAGAGTATTCATTCTTTTTTTTACAGTCACACAACAGACAGATGGTTATTTTTTTCTTCCAATGAGTAAACTACTGTTTTAATGAATTCTATTATGCTTAAATTTTTCTCCTTATGAACGTTTATTAATGTATTGTTCAGAGATTGAGGAAAACTTTACCAACGAACTCTTTTGAAACAATTTTTTTTTTAACATTTTGAACATTAGTAAATTGTGTTATTAGTGTGTAAAGTTTCACTTTTACGCAGTACATGTAACGTCCTGTTTTTTTATATCTGTCAAGTTGACTTTTCAATTGTGCAATGGGATTAAGAGGAAACGGTACCCCCTCAATTTATCGACGAATTTCCGAACGGTCATTTGGCAGCCAAATAATTCACTAAGGCTTTTAAAATTTTATACATTTGATATTGGAGGGATTATTTATGTCCAGAACAATTTTCACGTTGATGTGAGAAATAAAAAATTACCGATTTAATTACCGCTGGAAACTAATGAAAAAAGCCAAATTTCTTATCTATCATCGGACAACTTTCAAAATACAAATGTCAGGGCGAACGATTTTCAATGTGTAATCCAATTAAAGTTCAAGAGTTAAGATTCTCCGAATAACTTGGACGTACGGACTATTTGAAAACTGAATGATAAATAATCAGGTAGAAAAAGGGAAGACGCTGCAAATATAAATTTCTAAGGATCTGCTAGATGGTTCTGGTGTATTCCCACTCCTCTCATTTTCCATAAGCCCGCGGCATCCCCACTCTGGCGCCCAACACAATTTACAAGAATTCTTTACCAACTGGCATCATCGCATCTATGCCAATGCCATCTATTAGTTGGTATGTATCCATCTAGCGGAGGGTAGTTTTACAACGATCTTTCCGGGGGTACCGTTACCTTTTAAGAGGCAATGAAACTTACCTTCGAAGTAGAAACTGGCTTCCAAGTTTATTCGTCGTCAGACGGCTATTCAGCAAAAGTCAAATGGCAGTATTGACAACGGCCGAAAAAAAGTTATGTCAGAGCATGAATGTACGCATCGGTTCGAGCACACGTATTTTCTTCACAAGAGGGCCGAGCACAGCTTTGAACTCCACACGCGGCAATGTGCGCAGGAACTTTGTTCACATCTAGTTGCGCACACGAGAGATTGACACATCACTGAAAATACACATTAGTCTGCATCATTTTATAACAAATTTCAGATTTTGGTTTTCTCTTACCTTCATCTAATAGCCCATAAATTGAACTAAGACGGTGATTTTTTTCCAAATTTTTAAACCATTTTTAGGGTCAGTACAGAGCTTTGTAAGTTCTTATGGAAATTTACATGTGGAGTAGGACATTTAGGTCATTTAGAAAATTTATTTCAGTGTGAGCTCTCTATACAAGATTCTTTAACTACTAGGTGTACAAATTAATAAGGTGCTTTTTTTCACGAAAATCAGAGTTTATTATAAAAAAACAAAAAGACATTTAACGGTCGAAATATTCTCCATTATTTTCGATGACTTTACTCCACCTCACTGGTAACTGACGAATCCCTTCGCGAGAGAAACTTGGCGGTTTTGACTCAATAAATGCATCGATGCTTTTTCGGACCTCGTCGATTGTTTTGAAGCGTTCATCAGCTAGGTGGTGTTGAAGAGACCAAAATAGGTGGTAGTCGGATGGGGCGAGATCAGGCGAGTAAGCCGCGTGAGGGAGAACTTCCCATTCTAATTCACAGATAATAGCCTTAGTCGCTTTGGCGACATGCGGTCGAGCCTTGTCATGTTGGAGAATTACTTGTCTACTTCCGCTGCCAGTATATGGCCTCTTTTGCTCCAATGGATCATTCAAATGAATAAGCTGTTGTTGATAAACCTTCGCAGTAACAGTTTGGCCAGGTTTAAGTAGCTCATAATATATCACACCTTTCATATCCCACCAGATACTCAGCATCACTTCTCGCATAGACATTGGGTTTCGGAGTCGACGTCGATGGTTCGCCGGGATTCACCCACGATTTTTTGCGTTTAGAGTTGTATAACACCCACTTTTCATCGCCCGTAATGATTTTGTATTAGAAAACTTTTCTTTGAATCGAATGAACAGAGATAGCGCCGTCTCCAGTCGTCGCTCCTTATTTTCGGGGCTCAGATCATGAGGAACCCATCTACCCTCCTTTTGAATTTTGCCAAGTTGATGTAGGCGAAAAGAAATGCATTGTTGAGTCACTCCGAGGTGTAGTGCAAGCCCTGTTTGGCTTTGAGCAGAATTTTCAGCCAAAAGTTGTTCGAGTTCTTCATCGCCAAATTTTTGCGGTTGACCCGGCCGTTCTCGATCCGAAAGATCGAAATCTCCGTCTCTAAACATCTGGTACCACTTTTTACACGTTTTATGTGTTACAGCGTTTTTTCCAAGAGCAGTACACATCATTTGAGTAGCCTCGGCAGCATTTTTCTTTAATTGAAATGCAAAAAGAATGCAGTACCTCAAATGTTGCTTATTGACAGACATCGTGTTTACAACTATTTTTTAAGGTTATGTAAGAAGTATTTACTGCTTCGGTAACTGAATTCTACCAACATACAAAATATTGAAATATAAAGTTTTTGAACGCAATTATAAACCGCGAAATATAGGGGCACATTATTAATTTGTACACCTAATATTTTACTATATTTTTGAAAAAACTAGAATTTTTCATTTTTATTTTAAATGTAAAATGCTAAAGAAAATTCTTGAATTTGTCAAGACAGTCAAGTGCACGGATTATCCGGGGTACTTATGAGGAGTCATATAATGCAATGGATGTAGGGTTGGCCAAAGGGTTAGACCTTTCCTCGGATGGAACGTAGTTTTTTATTGCACTCAATAAATAACTCTGAACTTTTTAATTTCAAATTTTTCATTTTAACTTTCGAAATTGCAGTAAAGTATTAATATGTTTGGATTCCTCTTTATAGGCGGATTCCAACAAAGTTTAATTGATAACGATATCACAGTTTGGAGTGAAGTTCCTCCATTTAGCTAATGCGCTGGCATATAAGATTTGTCCTCAAAAAGAGGTCCCCGGGAAAACATGGATGATATACGCTGGTTCGAGGGCGTAGAATATGAATATATCGGTTATTTTTTCATGGGATTTATCGTAGATATTATTATAAACAATTCAATTGTACAACTTGCGATTACACTGAATCTGTGAGATCCATCGAAAGAATCGTCAAACAAAAATGATGTCTTTCATAAAAGTACATAGTTTTTGTTTCATTAATTTTTTCCTAACTAGCATAGATAATAAAACATTAAGGGGTGGATAGTACAAGGGCCGCACTTAGCACTTGCGCCTGGCCTAGTTTTACATTGAATTGGTCTTCCAATATTTTTACATTCCCAGTAGTAAATAGAATATTTACGGTTATTCCTAAATGATAGAGCAATTTAGAGTTACAATTAACATTTAATCGTGCGAGCGGTCAATGAGCCTCTATGCGCGGTGTCGAAAGTAAGGGTGTGAGTTAGGGGGCGCTTGCACTTAACGGGTAATCTTTCTGAAAATAATGGAGATATGATAAAAAAAATAGCACCAAATCTATGTACTGTTTATGAAGGAACAAACTTGATGCGATTTTGTCCGTATCTCAAAGTGTTTACAAAATGTAGATAATTTACCCCATCATGCAGAACAGGAGCGTTGATATCTCATTAATGGCTAGCTGTGGGGAAAAATTTCGAAAAATTAATTATATGTCAAATTTGATGGCGAACATTTTTTATTTGAACCATTTGTCTCTATCTTCATCGTGTTTGCTGATAAACGCATTAGAGCGCGCCAAAAAATTATACAATAATAAATGTGTATTTTTACATATCAAACATCTTTTGTTTGAAACTTTTTCCACTATTTCCAATCGTTTCTGTGGCATGGTCGTTTCAACAATAAAATTGTTATAAACCAATAGCAAGCGCATGATCTCGCAAAAGTTATCGTATCCACAATCAGTGACCTTGAAAACAATGTCTAATGATCAAATCTTCTGGACACAGCAATGTCCATAGAAATGCTCCTGGCATATGGACTAATTCGTTTTCTTACTTCCATCAAAAATTGAATGTTAACTGACAGAAAAAACTCATACATTAAAAAGAACGGAGGATTACCAAAAAATATCAATTTTGGATGATGAATTTCGGTGTGAGGTCAACGGGTAAGAGGAAAATTCAGTTGGATGAATGGTCGAAAGAAGACCTCTCATTTATACCTGGAAGATCCCCATTGCATCGGCCCCGACCCTTTTGGTACCTAGCTAAGGACTGTCATAAAGCCATTTGACTTTTCATCGAGCATTACGGCTGCAAACTGCCAGTAGGTTAGATATTTTCGTCAAACTTTGCATCGCGTGTGCTGATCTAAAAAATGGTTTAAAAATTTGGGAAAAAATCACATTATTTCATTTCACGGACTAGTGGATGAAGGCACGAGAGAATCGAAATTTGATGTTTTCTGTTAAATGAGGCAGACTAATAAGCTAAGACTAATAAGACTAATACACCTGCTCCATCTCTACACAACTCAAATACACAAGCAATTTTACACGATTGAATTGTGCGCTTCCATTATGGCCACACTGAACAGTAGCACACATATTATTGTGAACTTTTCTCATTTGCACATGTTCCTAATTTCCCAGATTCATTTGTCACATGCTAATTGATGCACTCATCAAATGCGCAGTCTTGTTCTCGACATTATATAATGGTTAAGCGAATCTCCACATTGAGCTTTTTAAACTCCACAATGTGGAGATTCAACTAGACACTGATATTTCATTTTCTTATGAAATACCACGTCAAAAACGTAGGGGATTTCATTTTTTCATGAATTTCCACGCGTTTTCAGTGTGTACTCAAATCTACACATAGTGGAATTGAAAATGCACAATGTGTAGATACACCTAAACATTCTATGATGTAAAAAACATGACTGCGCACTT